TTCATACCAATTACTGCATTTTCTAGATTGAGCATTCAAACATAGTAGATGCATCAATATGGCTTTTGCTGTCTATTTTGGTGATTCTGAAGCATCATGGCCAGGCTTTGCCAATGAAGATTTGGGAAGGGCTCTACCCACATTTGCTACAGGCGCGCTGGTGGTTAAAAAGGCCAATGCGAGATAGACAAGTCCGGTTGCAAAAGGCACAGCAGAAAGACTCCTTAGGTGGCATCGACAAGACATGATTCTTTCTGCGTTGTCTTTTCTCCTTGAGAATGAGATTCTGAAGCAGAAGATGCCTAAATAGTCGTCAAATGGTTCTTGAAAGATATGTATTTTTAGAATCTCATCCAAAGGTCAACGTTTTTCCCAATGCAGCCAATTACATAGTTCACACAGACTGATACTTATCTTCTGCCTGCTGTATTTATTGGCAGTTTGCTGTCACCAAATGACAGTAGGCAACTACAGCTGGGATACAGCCTGCCTTCTGATTATGGACAAAATAGGAGTAAATTCAAGACAAAAATGAAAATTAAAGAGTGAAAGCCAGGAAGAATGGGAAGGGTCACAAAACACTGAAAAAGTGTGCTACTCATTGGGCATAGAGAAAAGAGAGAATTCTGATATTATACCTGATAGTCAAGTAGTTACATGCATTGACTCCACAGAACACCTGGGAAAAGGTGACAGTCACAGAATTACAGGCCAGGAAACATACACTCATTTAGACAGTCCTTTTGTTAATTTATTGTTATCATCTCTGACATTGCTGACATCCTCTCTTGTTGCTTATAGTTTCTTCCACCAGAACTCAGGCGGAGTTTGACAGGCTTTTTGAGAAACATATCTGTTTCAGAATTTTCTAAGTAGTTTTTCAGTTCAATTAGTTTAGTTTCTCTTCCACTGTAGCTCTTCAGTCATTACTTCAAGCTCTGCAATCACCTTAAACAGAGCTGACATTGAATCCCTCAGACAGCAGATGACTGTTTCCTTGTCATCGACCAACAGTGCACAGCCATCCAAACAAACTAGCTTAGATTTAGTATTTCTTTCAGTTTTGATCTTACACTTTTCTTCAGCTGTAGTACTGCTGAGTTGTCCATATGGATTACATGATGCTTCCCCTCCTCTGTTACTGTGAACCAGCTACAGAAATAATTTTGCTTATGGCAGAGGAACTGATGAATCCTTAAACCTTTCACAATACAGTAAAAAGACACTTCTGGTACAGGTAAATTCTTATTAGCTACCACTGCTCCAAGTTTATCTTGCATACTTGGGCTATAAGTGGATTCTATATAGTGTCTGTTACAGATACACCATCTATTTTAGAACCAATTACCCCTGTCTCGAACTGACTCCCACAGTGTTGAATGGCCACAGGACAGATACTCCTCGCACACAGAATGGTGCTAACGAGTAGCTGTGAGCTCAACAGTCCCTGAGTACATCACATTTTATGGTTAGCAAGATGACTGCCATGTAGATCACCACCTTCCCTAGCAACGGGACAAAAGATAAAATGGAAATACTTCTTGGTATGCACAACACAGCTTACAGAACTTACTACCAAAAGTTATCATTAAATTTAAAATACTTCAGCTCAGAAAATGGCAGAAATTGACATGAGTAGCAGGAACACAATATATAAAACTAGTTTTCTTGTTCGAAAAAGAAAAATTCATTTTAGATCAGGAAGCTAAGATATAAAAGTAAAAAACCCTCAAACTATCCCTGAGAGATCTTTATCATGTGCCACCTGCTCTAAAAGGCTTTTCTGGTTTTGATAATAGGCATTATCCAAGTGAAGTCTCATGAAGAACCTTAACCCGTTTAGGTAAAAGTAAAAGCTCATTCTAGCAAATTTTAAGTGTAAACATTATTTATGTACAATTTGACGTGGGGGAAGGGTGGGAAATTCAAGCAATGATGATTTTTCACTTAGAGCTGTATGAAATGTGACAGCTACTTGTTTAAAAGGCTTTATAGATGGGTTAAGTTCCTACTCTAACCTATGAATTAGAATGGTAAATGTTGACAGTGCTCAGAGGCTATATCTCCTGGCAGTGCACTACAAAATTTGCACATAATTCGGATGACAAAAGTTCAACATGCCACCTTTCTCCTTGCAAACCATTCTGCTAAATTACTTATTCCTTCCCCATGAAAACTGTCAGCCTTATCATGCAGATTCTCTACCGAGGTAAAAGAAACTGTTCCAGATGACATGAATTCACTGGAACATACTCCCAAGAAAGCAGAGATTAAAATTAAAGGTATCGGCTAGTTAGAACATTTTGCATTAGAAAGCAAGAGATCGTCATTGCAGAATTTGTTTTCTTAAAGTTGAGAGACATACAAAGCAAAGCATGATGCTCCACTTACTTGATTTCCTCCCATTTGGAAATAAGCTGATTAAATGTACTCACAACAGATGATGCCAAATTTGTCAGAAGCTTAGTGTCCTAGCAACAGGTATGGTACAGTATTAGTAATAGACTAATGACATGCACTAATAGATTAATGGCTTGAAGCTATGTACTATCTTAAAAATCTTTATTTTAAATAATACATCAACTGCACATGCAGAACTACAGAGGTTTCACAGTTTGGAAATTCAATACTCCAGTTTTCTATAAAATTTATTTTTTTCAAAAGCAAACCAAATTGTGTGAGAAGCAAAAGCACACAGGCCTTCCGGCACCCAAAGATGTGGTAGCTGGACTTGACAACCACTGTAGGTCTGTTCCAATTGAAATATTCTATTCTATTTATCCACATTCTTTCTCATCTCTGACACTGGTTAACACACAGTTATTTAACACAGGAAAATGCTGAGTGCTTTACTGCAGTGATCACACACATGAAAAGTGACTGGTCTAAAGCTAAGAGCACCGAAAAGAAAAAAGCCAGAAACAAGCAGTAATGCATATCGTGAACTGGATTTGTGTAATAAGCTTCCAGAAGTACTGGAAAATATTTCAATTTGTATTTAATGTCTGCTTACAGATATTTAGTATTTACCTTTGGCCCTTTGCATACTTTTTTCCCAGCAGTGAGTAAAAAGTTAATACGAATCAATGCTTTGTTTCATAACAACTTCCTCTCTCCCACCAAACACAACAATTAATTCCCAATTCAGCTGGAAGAGACCAAATTGCAAAGTAGAATACTGATTTGCATTTGTACTCATTTTAATTTAGAGAGGCCTAGTACAATGCATGAGACTGTCAGACACTTAAATTCTATCCTCGGTTTTGAGATAGTATTCTTGTACAGTGAGGTATTTCACAATTTCAATGCAAATACATAGCTTTTAAAATCATTAGTGTAAGTCACATAGGCTACAGATCTGTCATATGAGTAGGAGAAAGGATGGGGACAGATTATGTCGATCCTACTAGCACTTTGCATCTGGTCTCCAATAGTAATGAGTTACTCCCAACTACTGGAAGAGGCTAACTATTTCAAATACATTTTTAATGTACAGGCTGCTATAGCAAAAGATTTAGGACTGAAGCTCTGACCATCATTTTACTGGAAAAGAACAGGAAATATCCTGGATTTGGAGGAAAAGACAAACCCTGCTGTAACCTTCATGTAATCAGATTTTTTTCTTATTGTTTTATAAAGATTCTGTAACTGTTAAGATAAAGACGATTAAGCAAGATTGAGGTGAATAAGCAGAGAGACATTGCTTTCACCCAAGGATGTGGCAAACATAACCAAGGCATCCTAAGAAGTCCCACAGTTCCTCATCTTCCCCATGTTCAGTGTATGAGGATGGGTTCCCTTCCAAGCTGCATGAGCCAGCTGACACTGTGGGTGTTAAAGGAGACACCAGTGACTACCTCTAACCAATCCAGAAGTCTTCCCAGCATAAAGCAAGATATTTGTGTACACACCAGAACGCTCAGAGAGGAGCATGTCACAGCTTGTGCACACAGTTATTCCAACAACACCAAACCCACACACCTTTCTCTTCAAAGAGAATATGATGCCAAAGTTTTCTTATGAAGGCCAAGCCTAGTTTGCCAGGATCTTACATCTAATTCTGAGCTCAACAATAATTGGACAGTGTTTGCAAACTATTTAAATAATACACTTTAGATGCCAGTAGCATTTGGAACATATAGCATTAGCTGTAAAAACCCAGTTAAAGCAGTTGTTAAGGGAAAGTACCACTTATGGAAACAGTCAGTGTATCACCACGCTCTGTGTGGCAACGAGGACTGTTGCCTGCACTACTGCATTTTCTTCAAGCTGACCAAAACTGTTCTAAGAGACAATAAATCTCCCATGATTCTGTTAAGACAACAGAAACCATGTCAAAAAAAGAAAGGCAAGGAACAAGTTTTACTTGCCCTTGCAGATAAGTACTCCAAATCTAGTGGAACTAGGTGATGTCTTACTTTTCAAGGAGATAGCAAACATTAAACTTTGAGTAAGAATCTTTGCTTTATGCTGAAGAAATAGAATAGTCAAGTTTAATTTACTACAAACATTTAAGAGAAAGTTAAAGGAATTTATGGGTACCATTTCACAGAAATAATCTAATAAAAGAACAAGAGGCATTTATAGTATTCAGAAGCTGTTTCAACACCAAAAGGAAGACTTCTGATTCAAATGAAGCTTTACCACATTTCAGCAGAGTTTCAACTAATTACGGTGACTTCTCTTACCTGCCCCCATGCACAGTCCTTCCTCCTTAAAGTTTGTGTTTAATAATAATAATACACTATTGCACTGTGAACCCATTCACAGGCATAAAACTTCATACAGCATAAAATTGTGACAAACATTGTAATTGTAACAAACTTTAAATTTTTTATCAACCAAAACTAACTTTTGTATTGAACTAGTTCCATTTAAGGGAGAAAATCTTACCCAGGAAAGACTGTAAGCTTCACACAAGGGAACAATTCACAGCATTGTAAATACCAATAACTGTAGTTAAAAAATTACCTTCTATCCAAGAAAGCCAGACTTCCTACCTTCACTACAGGGTGTCCTCCAGTAGATGCTTTTACTGCTCCTCGGCTTCCTTCTGTTTCATAGTGAGCTCTGTGATGAGTTTTAGGCTGGACTTCTATTTTCAGTTCACACTGCCCATAATGACTTGGTAAAGGCCAGTCAAGAGGTGGCAATGAAGATGTGCTGCAATCAAGATGAGCACACTGATTACAAGAACTGTGCCATCTGGCCACAGTACAAACAAAGCCTTCACTGTAAAACACAATGATATCACTTTCCTAGCAAATGATAACCAAAGAAGAATACCTACTAGCTTAAAAATCTTACGTGAAAATTCCAAAATGTTGCTGGTACATTAAAATCCTCAATTAATCCCAATTTATTTTGGGGTTGTTAGAATGGAATTTCTTCTTTCCAACACCTAATCAAAAGAAAGGTACTGTATGACCTCGAGCCTCACACTACCCCAGTGCTACTCTACAATGCCCTTTATATTAACTTTTTAGCCTCAAGTATATCAGGAAGTAAGTTCAAATGTGGTTTAGAGAGAACAGTATAAATTCAGTCTCTGCCTGTCATTAAGTTTTAACTCTCTACATTATTACCTTTCAACTTGTTGTTTTTGTTTTTCTAAGTTTGGCAAGCGCTGCACTTTGTTAACTATCATTAAAATGAACACTATATGATCATCTGAAGTTTTAAAAAGCTTGTTGTTCTCCCTAAGCATAAAGACTTACTGCAACAGGCAACGAAGAGACCTAAAGTACACGTTCAGCTTATCCACAGATATACCCTTTTACATATTAGTAAAGTCACTCCAGGGAAAAACAAAATGCAGTTATTAGAAGTAATATGGAAGAACTTCAAACCAAAGTTTTCATACCTACCCTTTTACCTGCACAGATTTATAGACTTAAGATTCTAAAAGGATCAACAATCAGATTCAAGTCAGTAATTACCTAGTGGAGTAAATTAAATTATGAACATTTAAAAGTGAACATTTATAGCATTGTTTACTAAACAAGAATATTTACAATAAAAATAAGCTTCTATTCACATAGTTTTGTTTTACCCTACTCTGACCAACAGGAAAAGCAAATTAGGTTTTAAAGTAATGGACAAATATTGGTTTGTATTGTCATCTGGGAAAGCTCAAATCCATCTTTCCACTTTACAGGAAGTCAGGCAAACCCCCCACCCCCCATCCATGCAAATTTCCACAAACGTGGATAGCCACAGGCCTATAAAAGGTAAATGATACCTTCTGGAGAATTTAGCTAAGATGTATAAAATCATATCCACAGGTGAGAAAGAAGATAAATGTTTGGACTGAACAAAAAAAAAAAACAAGGAAAGGAATCTGTCTTTAGCAAGTATCTGGAGGGACTTGGGCTCAGCCTGCAGCACCATACTTTTACTGCAGAAATGTCTGTCGCTAGGAATGGAAAAGAGGGAGAAGAACCAGCCCCGCTTGCTGGTCTCCTCCTACAGGAGAATGACCTCCAAGCCTACTGACCTGCACTTTCATGGATACCTGCACTGTGCACTTCAGGAGAGAGTTGGCACTACAACATAAATCTTCACTCCTTTGAGAGCAATGGGAAGAAGAATATTTCCCTTTCTTCTTACTGAAAGGCAGAAATGTGAGAAATAATCTCCACCAGCATTCAGTGTACAGCAAAGAGGCTTCTTCCTCCCCCTAAGGAGATCTGATGATTGGTCCTCCCACAGCAAGAGTATTTACTGGGTAGGAGGGGACTGATATGTCAGCAACAAAAGAGGAAACTGTCAGGAATGCAGTATAAGCCCAGTCCTTCCAGATACTTACCACAGGCCAGGATGTACTACCTAAATGTTACTACTGGCTATCAACTAGACCTTATCATTCACTTTTATAGCTACTGAAGGAGAAGGACTCAAGTCTTCAGTCTGAAAAGGAAAGAAAACGTCAGGATTAGAAGATACTAAAAGGAATTCAAGAAGAAACATAGCACACTATTTTCATTTAGTATTTCTGGAAACCTTTTAATCCCCCATATAACCAAATATTCTATGTCAAAATAGTTGGTATACACTATGAACAGATATGGTACCTAAAAGAACTTGGTTAATGCACCATAAGCTATATACCAATTAATGGGAGCTTTTACTGAAAGTTGAATGATAAACTTGGTCAAGAAAAAAGTATTTGTTGCTTGTGACCACCCTCCATACAGTCTCTCAGAGAGATTTACTCCTCCTGCAATTAACTAATAAAAATGTGGTACAAGCTGTATCAGACTAACATTATCTCCTGAAAAAACACTTGGCATACTAGAACAAATATGGAGACGGGAAAATAATCAAATCTCAAGATTTTGTCATTCTTTGAAAACAAATAGAAAATAACAGCACGAGAGAGTAAGCGAGTGCACTGTGTACGTGCAGATGCCTAAAACATCAAAAAATTGCAGAGCTTTCAAAACACAGATCTCCCAATAAATGGCACAGCCTTTGAGCTGTGTACATCTCTGTGTACATCTGAGTACATCTCTTTGATGTACTGCATCAAACAGATGTCTTCTAGATACAGCTGGCTAGAGAGTTACAGCTGCTTCCCTTTTCAGTTTGGTGTTGAATACCCAAACTGTTGTTTCTCTGAGTATTTCTCTTGCTGTCTCTATCACCCTCAACTTCTCAACAGCAGTGGATTCTTAAAGTTTTAGAGTACTCTGTTAAGTGCCTTTCTGCCCTGTAGGGATATTGGTTTTATGTATTTCTCCTTCCTTATCACCTTTACAATTTTCCGAGACAAATACCATATAGATACACATTTAATTGAATCAGTGATCTAACTTTAGTTCATTTTGAAAGGTAAATTTTTTAATCCTATTAATTTACCAGAGTCCCAGTTATTTGTAGAACTTCTTCAAACAGAACTAGGGGGAGGGAGGCAGAGTGGGAACTTCCCAGCCAGCACTGTCACCTTCTTAAAGTCACATGAACCCACAAGCTTGGACACTAAATAGAAACTCCAGGAGAATACAATCTATAAACTCAGTGCTTTTTTTTATTCTATGCAGAATTCCATATCAAATGAGAAAACCCATGTCAGCATGTGTTCTGAACACTTTTTGAAATGAAGCAAAGCTATTTTTGTACCAGATGCTGAACATGGGAAATTAAGTCAGAAGCTGTAGCTTTTACTGCATTTAAGGGCACGTTCTCAAGAAAATATTACTCAGTGTACACTATTAGCTGAGGAGCGGCAGTAAAACTTCTACTTAACTCACCACGGTTCTCAGTTGTAAACTGTGCACTGAACGTCAGTGATTTCTGGTAGTGCAGAACTTGTGCAAATTCAAAACCTAGTGGTGCATTACGCTTAACATACCTGGAACATGTTTAAGAATAAGCAGCTCAGCTGCTTCACAAGTAAGCAAGAATTTAGTGTTACAAAGATTCCTGTGTCCCGACAGGACAGCATATTGCACGACAGCATTTGCATTAGCCGCTCACCGTGAGTTTTTTTTCAAAGTTATTTTAGAACAAAAGATTAAAAAAATTAAGAACCTTTGTTCCTTAAACCCTTCACTTTTCAGTCTTGACGGGGGAGGAACACATCTGTGGATATTCCCACATGTTTCATTACTAAGTTCTACCTGGTTCAGTGCCATATTACTGTTACAACAGCCTGTGACAGTCTTTTACAGAAGTTTCTCTAAATTTTTTGTCTTTGAGTAAAAATCTTATTAACAATGCAGTAACCTACTAGTAAATCACCCAATCACATGTCAGGAAATGGAAATAATGAGTGACAGATATTCTAATACTTTCAATAAATCAAATCTTCACATGCTGTTGAAACAGCACCAATCTGTAAACCTACAAATATTCTTCCAATAATACCAGGGGAGTTTTACAATCTGATTCATGCAAGCTTCCAAAAGCTCATACTCACATCATACCAAGATTAAAGGCTCCAGAGAATAGCACCTATTAAAGGGAACTAAGAGGTAAAGAAGGAACCCTTCAGTAGCATTCTCAACATTTAAAGTTATCACTTTAGTGATAGTTTTATCAATATTAATTTAGCAGATTCTTCCTCTGCAACCATTATCTCCAAAACAGAACTGATTAAGGCTACCCAAAATTGACAGGAAACAATGACGTTGAGTACAAAAACAGTCAAGTGTGTCCCTAAGGACTTCAGCATTCAGATTGCAGAAGTCAGGGCCCGGCTCTTGGTCTGACTATGCCACTCTCACACAGGAAGAAACTTAGACCAGAAACAAGGCTGCCCATTTGCACTTGGCTGTGACCCTATAGCAGTATACGTGAGACAGAAGGAAGAACAAAGCCTGTGAGAGTCATTAAAAACAAGGCAGTTAAAAACTTAACACTGTTACCTTCCACCTGTTGCACTGTCCCTGGATAATGCACTGCACAAACAGCTGGGGCTCCGTGCAGACAAACTGCCAGTGCTGGTCTCTCAGCTGAAGCACATCGGCCATCAGCTCACCTTCAGTCTAATGCTCTCCTGGACTCCTTGCTTAGAAAGCTTTTGAACACAGGTGGACCTGATATAAGAACTCATTTTAGCCACTCTGTATGAAAATGTTCCTCCCTCTTTGTAATCACTAATTCTGGTAATAACCTTTGAGAGACACACACTAGTATTTCCAGATACTTGTGAAAGTTCTTGTTTCCTTTGTTGGTTGAGATTCCCAGATCTCCTAGAGTGATTCTTTTATTAATTCTTAGTTGCAGAAAAATGAATATTTTCCACTTACAGGTCCTGTCGACACATAAGGGAAAAAGCTCACTGACTATACAGTGGGGATATTCCACATCTCATCTCAGTTTTTGCAGAGATGAACCCACTGAGTATCCTGTGACAAGTCAGTGTTGCAACACAGAGAATCCCTGAGAATCTCAAATAATAACTATGGTCCAATACTAAGATTTTCAAGACTGCTTGTAGAGCCAAACTACTGCTGTGGTTGCTCTTCCCTGCCTAGAACAAAGTCCTCCTGGTGGAAGACTTCTGAAGTCAAGATTTTTGGGGCCATTCCAGATGCCACAGTGGCTTATCAATAGACTTTATTCATACTGTTTACATTCAAAATACCAAGTTCTATTACTAGCAGACCCACAGTTAATGATGCTTTCCGAGAATTGATATAGTATATTGCCAAGTAAGAATTTATATTCTATCATTTCAGAACAAAGTGGAGAGCTGGATAACATGTACAGTGCAAAAGGCCCCATATGAAACACTACCTGAATTTCTCTGGATTCATTAATGGTGTGTAAACATTACAGCAATAGCCTTGCTATTAAAAATCTGAGAGGTTCAAAGTTCTCTTGCTTGTCTTACTTAAGTGGGTCCTTATCTTCAAAGTCAGCAATTTGCAAATATTTTCACTTCAAAGTTTTGCTAGTAGCATAGCTGGTGTTATTTCTATTTATCAAAATAAGGTGATAAATACTTAGCAGTCTAACTTTGCCTCTAGTTCACTCACGTTGAAAGATTTTTCCTTCTTAAAATTAAGACCAAAGTCCCAATAGTTATGGTAAAAATATTACATAATACTGTTCCTCTCTACTCTCTAGACTTCCAAGACAAGGATTCAGACAAGAGAAGCAACTTTTCTGAGTATTCCACCACTATATTTAAACTAATTTTTTTTTTCTGAGAGAATAAGTGACATTGCCAGCAATCCTAGTTTCCAACAGTAAAATACTCAAGTTGCCATTATATATCCATCACTACAAAGATTCCTGAGCTGTAAATACATCTGTCAAAGCCTGTTTGTTCATCACCTCTAGAACAAAGAAACTACCTGATGCCCCATCACTTCTCAGTGTTACAAATTAAATTCATGACGAAGCAGTCTGAAGACACACGTCAATTTATCCAGTAGTTTTTAAATCAATGTAATCAATGTAAAAGTCTCTAAGAATTCCATGAAGGAAGTAAAAGAAACTAGGTTTAATTTTAAGATTTTTGACCATCAATGAATATTGCCTGGTTATCTTCCAGACACAAAAGGACAATTTATTCCCATCAAATACTGTAGGGTTTAAGTAAGAAAAGTACTGTAAAACAGACTTTCTAATTTTATTTTTTTTTTGCACTTTCTGGAAATCTTACAACTCAAGCTCTAACAGCAAATGTGCAAGAAAATAATAAAATCAGCATCTTTATTGACTGTTGGAAAATAAATATATAAATATCAATTGTATAATTCTTCATGACAACTAGGATGCTCACTTTTGGTCGCTATCTTGCATTTCATTTCTATTCATAAAACATAAGGGTCAGCTTAGCTACCCTGCATTATAAGAATCAAAATTATAAAATATTATATGACAGAATGGAATGTTTAACATACTGAAGATGCACATTGTCATAGCACCTGTGGAACAAGCTACAACTGCTGAGTAATTCAACATTTTGCTGAGGATACAGCTGCCAGTGCAACCATTTCCACTAATTCAGTAGTCAGATGACATTTTGGCACCAAATGTATACTGCTTAATAGATTTATTTAGTTTACTTGTGTATAGGTGTAATCTTCCTTTTCTTCTGTCTGTTTCCCCATTTTATATTTACAGAAATTCTTCAGTGACAGCTTCTAAATAAATTTTGACATTTAAAAAATATTTTTACTTTTTAATGAAAACATTGAAATTGCTTTTTTATTCAGTTCTCCCTATGACAAGAAACAGGTTTAACTGAATTATCTATTTTTTAAACTACTTTGGTCATCCCACAAAAGAACCATAGATCCACATCCCATCTTTCCACATGCCTATATGTTCATGACCTTTAGCGCTGCAGTGATGCTCACCTTTTATGAACTGTGTTAGCCTGCAAGCTAACAAAAATGCCAAGTTAGGACTGCTTAGCATCCTACAGAAATATAATACAATTCCAAAATACACTATTAGGAAAAACAGTTGTTACTGTTTTAGTTTGAAGAAAAGATTCTGGTAACAGATTAGAACACCTATTATTAACAGACATTCTTAAAACCCCTAAAAATTTCAAGACAGTTAATGTATCTGTCAACACAGCAGTTTCAGATCTGGTAAAAGAGATTTTTCCAGCCAGCAGCTTTACTGTTAAATTTCACATCCATCAACAGTTACGTAGAAGAACATTAAAGGAGGGAAAAAAAAAAGCCTTCCACCTACTAAAATCAATACAATTCTGAGGAGAGAAATTAAAATCTGTGGTTATACCATTAGGCAAAAAACGACAAAATGAATAAGCAGTGTTTAAATATATTTAGTTATTAACAAGACAAGCTAGTTCATAACTTCTAAGGAATTTATACAAAATTTTGCAATGATAAGAACACCACATTTTATCATTAACTACCAAGATTTAAGCTTTGCCTTTTTCAAAATAGAGCATACATGTGAAGAATCCTAACCTATCCACCCCTCAACCTCCCCAAAAAAGAGGAATTGCTTCATTTACTACATCGTTGAAGAGCAACTCTTAAGCACTGCCCATGGACAGACTTATACTATTTTAACCAAAGGTATTTTAAAATCAATACAGAATAGAATGGAAGCACCAACATTTAAATCTATAATATGGCTTTTTATAGGGATAATTGTGCTTTACAGGTATTAATCTAGTGGCTTCTCCTTCCCAGTACTTTCCTACCCCTTATTTTTAAAACCTAGTAGAACAAGGAAAAGGTTCACAAATCAAATGGATATCCTGTGACAAGTAATTACAGTATCTGTCCACCTAGCAGCAATGCTTAAGGAGCTCTTGTTTCTACTCTACCTACTGCACTGGCAAAGTGACTCCAAAAGCTGTAAGATAGGAAAGATCATAAAACTGGTCCATCGAAAAAGTAATGGAATGGGAAGTTCTGATTACCCCGATCAAACCAGGTCTCTCTTCTGAGCCTCCACAGATCATCCTGCTAGTACATGACAGAACTACAAAAGGAAAAGAGTTATTTAATTCTATGGTGGATGTTGGAAATACCTTGTAATGACAGCCCAGACAACCATTCTTTCTGGATGATTTTCAGCATGGCATACAATTTTTTTCTTTATTCTATTTCTAGAATTATATGAGCCTGAAGAAGCAAGTAGAAACAAAAGCAAATAAACTCCCCACCTCTTTTGTGGTCTCATAGTTCTATGAAATCGGGTAAGTCAGGTTTCTCTGGCTACATTAAAATGTCAACCACTCAGAATAGACGGAACTGCAAAGTGTGCACAAAATCTGCAGACATTTAATTCAGCTGGGCTCTGTGCAAGTACACAAACAAACTAATCCTATGTTACAACACATCTACTGTACTTTTAAAAGAAGAAAAAGATGGGCATTTGGTATCTCAACTTATTTTTTCCTAATTATAACATCTACCTGCCTACAAGTTTTCTTTAAGTAAAGTCTTAATGCATCACTGAAATATAAGGACAATGTCTACTTAAGATGCATTGGAGGGGAAAAAACAGGAGGGAAAGACTTTGTAATCACTTACCGAAATATAGGAGTATGACCAGGCTTCGGTTTGTTCCAAGTAAAGTGTGAAGGAACAGAAAGAAATTGGTCTCCGGGCAAGTCTTTTTTCAAGGTGTGCTGAGATCCAGAGCAATCATCTACTGCAGTTTCGAGGGATGATGACAAGTTACCCTGCTCTTCAGGACAGATATCGACCTTTCCAGATAAAGTGGCGGTCTGATCCTCTGAGGTCTTTCTTGTTTTTAGAGGAATATCAGTCTCTGTACAACACTGAAATGGTGAAAGGCCAGAATTAAGGCCTTGTACATTATGGATGGAAGTGTTTAGCCACGTGTCTTCTGTTATGCTTCCTCTGGGAGAATGGCCAGGTGATGGAGTTGGAGAATGGTGAGGAGAGAGAGAACCAGCATAGCAAATCTCAGCACTGGAGTGTCGTCGTTTCCCACAAGGGGATGTAGGTCTTGATGAGGGCCTTGATGTTGGTCTAGGGCTTAACCAATTTTCATCTGTAATACTAGTTCTAGGAGAATGACAGGGAGACTGTCTAGGTGACAAGGAGTGCCCAAATCCATAAGGCTGCTGCCATGATTCATCACTGGGACCTCTCGGAGAACCACCAGGTGATGCCAAAGGAGAGCCAAGGGTAAATCGAGCAGCTGCTTCATTTAGCTCTGAGTCTACATCATCATAAACATGGGAAATGGATTCACAAGAGGAAGCGTCTGAAAACCAACTTCTGGATGAAATGCTGCTGGCAGGGCTTGGACTAAGGGATGATTCCCTGTATGATGGCTCAAGAGGAAGATAGAGATGGTCCCGTGAAGGCCTTTCCATATAGTCATTTTCTGTGCCATTTGTGTGTAGTTCATCTTCACTGGCTTCGATCCCCTGATGACAGTTGGGTGAGATCGATGTAATTTGAATACTGGGGCACTCGAAGGGTTTGGGTCCACCTAGTGGACTGTATTTGGACTCTGGTACCTCACACGTGCCTTCATAGTTCTTATGGCTCTGAAGTCTTGTAGGAGGTGTCAGGGGAGAGGAGTGAGATTGCAGTCCGTGGCGAGGAATACAAATGGGCTGATTCACAGAGGACGATGGTTGGTCTACATTAAAGATGTATATGGACGCACAGTCATCTGACTCAAGATCTGAAAACAAAATTAAAACATAAAGAAAAAAAGGAACAGAGTCAGAATGCAATACTTGGAAAAATGCCATAAACAAAATCCTTTGTTTCCCAGATATGGACTGTTATCAACATCATGGACATTTCCCATTATACTAGCTACAAAAAATAAAGCTAACTCTTAATTTTACATTTTCCCCAGTCATATTTACAGCATGGTTTTCTATCATAAATCCTGTTTTCAACAAGATTCCACAGCTTATACACATCTTTAGTGGTTGAAATTATAATACAAACAGAAAAATGGGTTTAAATCTTGAAAGGATCTAAACTTAAACATTCAATTCAAACTTTGTCTTTCACAACTGTATTCCACTTATAATGTAACATTTTTCATCATAAATAATTTCAAAAAATCATATTTTTATCACAAACAGGACTATGGTACTTTCTGCAAGTCTAGTTAATACTTACAAGCACTGTAATATCACATACATAATATTTATCTACTTTAACAATAGAAAGCATCTTACAGTGACTCAAACTCAAATGAAGATTATGAACCACTAAAAACATTCAATCACAAGAGGCTCAACAAAGAATATTATTAAAGGTATTATAAAGAATCATATTCCAAAGATCTTTTTTTGTTGCTTAGAAAACTCTTAAGTGCTCATCCCACAAAATGACATTTTTCAATTGCAGTCTCATGAAGTTTGAGCACAAGTTGTTCAGCAAAATAAGACAAAACAAAATATTCTCAGATCTCACTAACTTATCCAAAACATAGGAAATATTACAAAGAAAAACAAGAAATTGAGAACAAAATCAGAAGCTTTGTCTCACAGAGCTGAAGCAGATTTTCTTGCCCCACTTCTCAACATTGCATTGTCAATATGAGACATTTGTCTGAAACAGAAGTAGAAAAAACACAGCTCTTTTTCTTATTTTCTAACCTTTATGATTCCACTCTTGTTTCTTTCCACTTCTAAAACAGAGCCTTCACTATAATTTTCCATAAATCCAGGCTGGATGACATTAATTGCATTTCTAGGTATCAGCTCTTTTTAAAATTATTTTTATCCTGAGTATCAGCAAAATATTAATACTTGTTAAAAAAAAAAAATCTAGTCTCTCTCACTGTCAGATAAAATGTCCAGACAGGAAGTTATACATTTTAGGCCTTTCCATTATGAAAAAATTAGTTTGTTAATGAAGTAATTCTATTATCAGTTTTACTAATAAGAATCAGCTTAAAATTAACTAAAACCAAAACAAAACTACAGCTCCTCAGAGACAAGGTAGCATTTTCAAATGGAGACAAAGCAGATTGTTACCAAGGAACAGACCACCTTCCTCAGAATGTTCATGGGCAGGGAGCAGCTCCGCAAGAAATGTATTATAGGAGGCACAAAGTGCATTTAAGAGGAGCACAGAGTAATTTCATAAGCACTGTGTGATTTTATATATATTACAGTAATGTATGACAATTATCCATATTATATAATTATATAATTAACTACTATTATGTGTTAAGAGCACAAAAAATCAGTATAGATTAATTTCTAAATATGCACGCACTAAAAGGATCAGGATTCTCAAAGGTCTATTTTATGTATCACACAATTAACACAAGCTCGCTACACTGAGCACTAACAAAACTGCATTTCCCTATCCTTTCACTAGGGTAACAAACATTTTTTAAAACTTTAATTGGTGTGTCTTTTTTTTTTTCTTGCTGTTTCCTATCACAAAACATGAAATGCAGACAGTAGTCGGTTATGGGTTTTCCACATCTATTGGTATATTAGTGTGCAAGATCATAGATGTCATTGTTCCTAACTCAGTATTAACATTAAAAGCATAGATCAAGGGAAGAAAAAGGCAATCCTAATAAAAGCTATTATCCAGCTTCTCAAAACTTAAAATAAAATAGTTACAGGTACAGAATTTTTGAAATAATAATAAAAATGTTTAAGGAAAGCAGTTGGTAGTCTTCAAGCCCTGTGTGTAAGCATATACTGTCATTAAGTTTTATGAACACTAGCAGCACATGGGTTTGCACTAAAACTCTCACCAGTGCAAAGAGCCATATTTCTCTTGCACCAATAATCCAGAAATCTTAAAATATTTAAGACATTTCCTCCACTTTCAGTGTCACTGGGATTTACAAAAAGCAGATGTACATTCAAAATTTAAGTTTCATGGAGCTGAGGTGAAGAGATCTGACCAGCACAGAACTATCAACACCAGCTGGGAAGAACTGGGGAAGAGATGGAGCAGGCAGGAGAGTACTTCTGACTCAGGCTTCTTCAGTCCCTTTCCTGACAAACAACTTCTAAGCAGTTTGGCACTGTGCTCTCTCATTACCCCTCCCCAACACACTCAAAAAAACAGGAAGCCAGAAATCTAATGAACACCAAAGCCAGAAATCTAATGAACACCAAAGCATGCTTAAGACTGTGGACACAAGATAGTTGGAAGTCTAAATCACCCAAATCATTTTCGGACACAATGGATAAACAGGTAGATTTATTTCAGCCTGTACACACAAATACTCCCCCTTACAGTTCATGTGTTAAAATAACCTGTTAGCTGCTCACACAAAAGGACAACACTAAGACCTTTACAAATCATGTCAATAGTTCTACTAGATTATTTACCAATAATTATTTTTGTCCTATTAAAGACTGTAGAGAGAATCCAATCTCGAAGATCCCTCTAACCTATCTTAAGGGACTAGTAAACATACAAACACAAATACAACTCGGGTGAAAGAAATGAGAGGAAAAAGAATGAAAAAACTCAGGTAATAACCCTTAAGAGGGAAAGGAGCAAGAATAGCTCAAAACAAATCCAACACAGGGTTTCAAGAAGCAGAAGGTAAACAAACAAAGGGAAGTCTCACAGTAGGCAAGTGCAAGGCAAAAATGAGTTATGGTAAAGCCCAAGGGGAAAAACGGAATTATGGAAAACTGGTTACCTAATAGGAGAGCTATTACATCCAAACAATCCTACTGGGGAAGGAAAGACAGTAAAGAAGTTGGTCAAGTAGTGAGGCCTTCACTGTGCATAAAATGTAAGAAAGTACTCAAGACACAGAAAGTAGGTCAAATTACTAAGGTAGAGTGTAAAACTACAACAAGCACATGGGGGCAAGATGCTAGACACGGCAGACCTGGCAAAATACAAAAGACCAAGAGCAGCAGTGCCATTCACATCAAAAGCCCACAACCCTAAAAAGGCAGGTGTGTTAAAAGCTTTTCCTTTGGTAAAGTCAACTGAGTAAATTGCTAACAAAGGTAACAGCAATACAGAGTAAAGAAAACTGGACTAAAAGGTTAAAAAATACTGAAGAATTATGGCCCAATAAGTTCAACTTCAGTTTTAGAAGTAGTATTAATAGTTTATTTGTTCCAGTAAGCATTTGAAAGGAGACAGAGAAACTAAACGAGTCACTGTTTGCTAAGAACAAACCACGTCAAACAAATTATGTTTTATGATCAAATGAGATCTCCTGGATCAATGGCACAGAAAGAAACTCAACTTGGTTTTTACTTACTAAGACTTCTAATACTACCATGCACAGAGAAGCCAAGGAGTCTTTAGAAGTTTAGGGAAGCCTTCTTCCCCACCCTGCTGAGATCAGGTTCACTACTGAGGGATCACAAAAAGCAGCAGATGCTTTATATTCACACAGAGTATAAGCTATATAAAGCTGCAGACTTTCATTGCAATCTCACATCAGGTGTCAGTGCCATCCAACGTCAATGAGAACCAGAAGGTCTCTCCTTTTGAACGTACATTTGCTCCTGTCTGGAAACAGATCCGTTTCCAGGAGCTCCTCTTCAGTATTAAAGCAGCGCTGGCTCATCCCTTACTAAGCTGCTAACTACACTTCAACATAAGCCGTCTAACTGGGGAATGTACTTCAATAATATCCAGAACAACTGCTTCTAAAGCACATTTTGCTCGCTATTTGCTGTATCAGAGTGCACATTCAGGACTGGTAATGCCTGCCCACCAGTTGTTCACTCCTCAAGGATGTACTGGCACATGCACATGTGCAGCTGTGCAGTCACCAGATTTCTCTAGAGAAGGAAGGTCAACTACAATCAAATGTCTGAACACAAGCCTTGTGCCAAAATTATCCAAACTGCTTTATTATTCTAAGTTTGTAAGCCCATAAACAAACAGGTTCAGACTACAGGAGTTGCAATAAGGTATTAAGAAAGTGCAACTTGACCTAGGTCTTATAAAAATACTACTGTGAAAATAGGATCAGTAATCATATCCTTTAAATAGAATGAGGAAAGACCTGGGCATTGCCACAGACATCATGAGTGTCTCCCTTCCAAACTTCAGAAAGGATAACCATCTATTCTGTTTTCCAGTTCTGTCATGACAGTAACCACTATCTCTTACTGAACACAATGGTATTATAAAACATATCTCTAAGTAGGCACAAAAAGGATATGCAGCTCCATTTTTTATTGCATTATTCTGCAGATTTGCAGCAGTTTATATATTTCTTGGGATGAAAGAAGAGTTAATCTTCACAAAGAACCCAAAATACCCAATAATCATAGTTTTCCTTTTGTGCATTTAAAAAGACAATTGATCAGAGTTCTTGTTGGTACACCACACTGAAGCTCTATAATTGGATATTTAACTCCAGTTTTCCATTACAAGCTTAAGTTCTCCAGACACTTCCTACAGGCTTAAACACCAATTTAAAAAGAACACAACCCAAAAAATCCACTAAAAAACACAGCAATGTATTAGTTTATAAGAAGTATAGCTGATTAGTAAGCCAAACATGGTACTGAAAAAGAACAAATTGTGAAAACA